GAGTAAGAAAGCATCCTCATGGAGAATGGTCATGCCATCACCAACATCCCTCTTCCTGCATTTTCCTGTCAGTACACACATGTGCCTGAAATGTTTCTCAAGCTGTCATGTTTAGGACTCCAACTAACTGCATACTTGGCCATGTGGAATCCAGCTGTTTTAAGCACCATGCCACCAGCTGGCCCAGTGGTTTTGGTCTTTAAGGTATGTTAGTCACTGTGAGATTGAGAAAGGGTACCATTATTTAATTTTAGTGATAGATCACCTCAGTGGAGGCAGAATAATACAAAGTTTCTGCTGGAGAAGATTGACAACTATGAATTAGATGACTTTAATTGTTACTATAAGACTCATTTGTTTTACTTTAAAGGAGATATTTTCAGCACACATACCTTTGTAAGGAACCTTGATAAACTGTCCTGAAATGATACTTGAAACAGTGTTGAGGCTACCTGAGAAAAAAACAATGTGTCCTATGGCTTATTATCTCTTCTTCCTTTTTTTTTTTTTTTTTTTTTTTTTAAGAATTATTTTGTTTAACTTTATTTATTTTAATTTGACCAGAGAGGAACAGAGAGAAAGAGAAAGTAAAAAAGGAAGCTGTCAGGTACAGGACTTGAACCACAGTCGGCCATGTTGGAGTCCAGTGCCCTTAACCACCATGCCACCTGCTGGCCCCCCTTATCTCCTCTTCCTTTAGAAGATAAAATAATTTTCTTTAGTTTTTTACAACTGAGGAAAATATTCAAGCATGTCTCTTGGAAAGGACCATCGCTTTATTCTTGAGTTCCTTTCATAAAATCTGGGCCTAACAAATGTAGGGTCAGTTCCATAGACTGATTCCTAGTTGAAGAGTTAGTTATATATGAAGGTATTTAAAAAAAACTAGTAGAAAATGGGATTAAAGTATGAGTTTATTTTGGTGCACAAACATTTCAAAATTCATGCAGTTTTTTTCATAATATGCATTTTTCATGAACCTTTTGAATACCCCTCCATAATAACTTCCTTAGGACATTTTTGAACTCTATTTTTTTTTTTTTTTTTTTGGTACCCATACTGCTGCTAAAAAGAGTTTTACAGTACAGTTGGATGGTGTTTATATGAAGCAAATCGTCTGACATTTATCATTACTAATTCTCATGGCAGTCTCAGTCTGCCTACCCACTACCAAATAAATAATTTCCTTCCACACAGACTGAAATACTGAAGGCTGCCTCATCCCCAATCCAGTACAGTAGTAAGGATTTGAGCTTATTCTGGTGATCCAGTGCTAAAATAAGTATGGTGTCTCAGTGTTTTCATGGCATTTACTCATTTGCCTGTGAATTTTAATTTGTTTCTCTTTTCTTTTTATGATTGCATGGACATGCATGAGAGAGAGAATTAGAGAAGAACAAACCTCCAATAGGGCCTTGTGCTGGGATTCCCATTCCTCAGCCCACCAGCTTCTCTGGGTGCAGAGAAGGACAGAAAAGTAAAAGTGCGTTCGCTGAGAGGACGGAAAAGCAAAAACCTGAAAATAATTAGCTACCACAAAAATTAGATAAAAATCACACGTTAGCCATCTCAACTAAGAAGGCAGAGAACCCAACAGCAGGATAGTCAGGAAAGGGTTCTCCTTCATTTCTTTTTTTCTTTTTTTTTTTTTGACAGGTTTTCGCTACAGAAATTGCGCGCTTGCCAGACAGACAGAGACATAGAGACAGAAAGCGAGAAATCACCCCCCAGGGGGATGGTCACGCCGCAATCCCTTCTCCATTCTCTCGGGATCTTGGACACGCACGCACATGCGCCCGGCGTGAGTTTTAAGCCACCAGGTCCGGGACGCGAACTGCGGTTGACTACGTGGGAGTCCAGCGACATAGACATTACGCTAACTGCTGGTTCCCTCTCCTTCATTTCTGATGTCCTGCAGTCCCTGAAAGTTGATCCTCAAAAAATTGTTCATATTATAACAGCCAAAGAGCCTGGCTCTTTTTTTTTTTTTTTTCTTGAGAGGTTTTTTCTATAGGGTGCATGTGCTTGCCAGAAAAACAGAGACAGAGAGACAGAGAGAGAAAGCCCTAGTGCGTTTTTGAGGCTGACCTGGAATCTGAACTGTGGTCATCATACATGACTTTAGGTACTACAGGGTACTAGTGTTACTGCCGTGCCACGGCCGCTGGCCAAGACTTTTTTCCTTAAACTTTATTATCATCAGGGGTTTTGAAATACATGGCATAAAGATCTTAAATAGGTGTGTGGATATCTAGAATATTTCAATATAATTATAGATGAAATTAGTATCTTGAATTAGATAATTTTTAAAAAATTATTTATTTATTTAGTCATTCATTTACTTTAATTTTACCAGAGAGAGACATACACGTAGAGACAGACAGAGAGAGAGAGAGAGAAAGTGAGAAGGCAAGCCACCAGGTCTAGGACTTGAACCGTGGTAGGCCATGTGGGAGTGTCTAGCACCTTAGCCACCACGCCACTGCTGGTTCCCTTGAATTAGATAATTTTTAAGAATTAGTAAGAATATTTAGTCTTTTCTGTGTGCTATATAGAGTGACACTTAAGCCATTTGAACAGATGACTTTTTAAAAAGTTTATTTTTTAATAATTATTTAACTTTATTTATTATTATTATTATCTTCCACTTTGACCAGAGAATGATAGAGAGAGAGAAAATGAGAAAAGAAGCCACCAGGTCTGGGACTTGAACCATGGTTGGCCATGTGGGAGTCCAGCGCCTTTCACTGCCATGCCACCTGCCGGCCCCTTTAGTATTTATTTTAAAAGTAACCACAGAAGCAACTCCACAGTCTGTCTTTCATAAGTGGTAAATACTCCATAGATTTGATAGTTTCTTGTGTGGTGCCTTTTTGTATTCCAGGTCCCTTGCAGAACTGGAATCTTGTCTTAAGCCTGCATAAGTACTTTAGGAGCTTGGCCATCTTCTGTTTCTGGCCGTTCCTCCTCTCCTTAGGGAGCTGAGACAATTCAGCTTGTCTGCAGGTGAATGGTTTGGACCTTGCACAGTCAGGATTGTGATGCTGTCTCCTGGATTTACACTGTTGAGATGACTTCTTAGAAAACAAGAGCTGGGACGTAATGGCGATGTCTCTGGACTCCCATGTAGTCTACTGCAGTTTGAGTCCCAGACCCAGTGGCTTAAGACTTACACCGGGCGTGTGCTCAAGATCCCGAGAGAATGGAGGAGAAGGGATTGTGGTGTGGCCATCCCCCCTGGGGGGGGGGTGATTTCTCATTTTCTGTCTCTCTGTCTCTCTCTGTATTTCTGGCAAGCACACCCACCCTATAGCAAAAACCTCTCAAGAGGAAAAAACAAAAAGAAAAAAAGAAAACAAGAGCTGGGCTCTTTGGATGTTATGATTTGAACACTTTTTTGAGGGTCAACCTTCAGGGACTCCAGGACATGTTGGATTCATCCAGAAATGAATGAGAATTTTTTTCCTGACTCTCCTGCAGTTGGGTTCTCTGCCTTCTTAGTTGAAATGGTTAATGTGTGATTTTTATCTAATTTCTGTGGTAGCTAATTATTTTCAGGTTTTTGCTTTTCTGTCCTCTTAATTTTGAGCTTTTGTTTGATTAGGTTTTTGTTACATATTCTCATAGCACAGTCATTATCTTTCTTTCCTTCTAGACTGTGTGTACCCTGAGGTTGGTACTGAATCTGTCCTGTTCCTGGTGGTGTCCTCGGAACATAAAACAGTGCCTGTCGTATAGCAGGTGATACATTTTGATAAGATATAAAGTCATTACAGTCGTACATTTTGTTATTGGTATGGGAAACTAGTGGTGATAGAGAAATTTAGAATTCAAGAAGTTTAGACATTTCATTGCCATCATTAGGACTAGAGAGTGTGCATTTAAAATATAAGCATAGCTGTATTAAAAATAGCTTCTTTAGTCATCTAATAGGATGTAGAAAAAGTTAAAATTATATTGTGAAACATTGTACTTTTCAGTTCTTCTTGAGTTAATATGTATATATATTTCTTACACAGAAGTTTTATGGCACTTTAAAAGAAGTGAGCTTAATGGCTGTAGTTTTGTTCATTAGTAATTATATATTAAAGAGTAAATTCTCATTAAAAAGCCCTTAAATTCCTGCTCATAAAAAAGAGAGACCTCTTTGATTTTGTTCTCCATACAGTCCCAGTTATTGTATTGAGTTAAGTCATCAAACTCTTTCGTGGTCTAAACCTTTAATTTGGTTTCATGTATTGAACACCCAAATTACCATGTCTTTAACAAGTAATGCAAACACTCTGTATTAAAAAAGGTAATGACCATAAGTTTTCTGGTAGGATTTCTTGTGCTAATTTTTAAAAGAGGACTTTTGAATTAAATTTCCCGTGAAGCCCCAAATCTTACTTGTAATGATAGTGGAGCATGTGTGTATGCGTAGAGTAAAGGGGGCTGTAGTTTCTGTAGTGGTATTTTTAAGTGGACAGTTTACTCATTATGTTGAGGTAAACATTTTACAGCTCTAGAAGGAAAACTTTAATTATCTGAATGAAATGAGGTACATGAAATTAATTCAGATAAGTGGGGGAATCCTTAATGTAAATGATGCATGTTAAAGGACATGACCTTAGTCTTGATTTTTTTCCCCCTATATGTCTGCCATTTGCTTTTATATTATTAGATTGTGATTCTTTTTGGTCACACTAGGAGCCATTGATAGGAGGGGGTAAAGTCATTCTATAGCTATTTTTTAGCTTCGCCACAGAAGGAATCCAGAGTCTGGTATTCTGTGGCGAGTATGATTGCTCTCTCCCCTGCACTGCCTGCCGTTCTAGGTGGTATACCACAGCCGTCCATTTTATCACCTTCCTGTCAGAAGTGGGTAGGAGTTCCTTGAGAATACAGTTTGTTTGCAGTTAAAGCCATACCGTTTTCTCCAGTCTCAAGGTGTTTATACTTCCTAAAAGTTGAGTTGTAGTAAGTTGATAAGGGCAATTTGAGTGGGATAAACCATAATTCCTTTCCTGTCTCCTTTAGGATTTAATATTAAACAGCCATCTTGTGGTGTAAACTTTTAAAACAGAAACAAAGTTCAGGGCATGTCCCTGACCTTTATAGATCCTACCTTGAAATGGAACTCTTGCTGAATGGTAAGAACTTAGGAAAGTTTTCGAAAAATCTTTTCTACTGTAGTTTACTAAGGTTTGCAACACTCCTGGGCTCTTTGACTCTGAAAGCAGTTGTGTAAATGTGATGACTTTTTCTTCTAGACTTGTTTTGTTTTTAAATGGAGCCAAGATTGCCTCAGCCATAGATATATGTACTGACGTCTTTATAAATGAATTTCTCTCATTCTTTAATATTACCTATACTTAAATCACTTGAAAACATGGCTCTTTCTTTTCAGCTTACACCAGCTTCTTTTGTTTACCTCTTAGTCTTTAAGGTATAAGATATTCAGATCTGGATTTCTATGAATATAGTTTGTATGATATTAGCAAGCTCTATATGGAGACTTTTCTTTTACATTTTTTTTTCAGAGGGCACATGCACTGGAGTGAGATAGAGAGAAGAAAAGTGAGAAATGACCCCCCAGGGGGGATGGCTACGCTGCATTTCTCCTCTTGGAATTTTGGGCATGGGCACACATTCCTGGCATGATTTTCAAGCCGCCAAGTCTGGGACTTGAACCATGGTCAGTCATGTGGAGTCCAGCACCTTAAGTACCACACCAGCTGCTGGCCCTTCTGTATTGAACCTCTGAGAGCAATTCTTAGGCCGTTGTTCGAGAACTTCCAAAATTATGTGCAGGTTAGTGTGGCAATAGATTTTTTACTTCAGGTTCAGTCTAAACTGATTTTGACTCTGTTTATGAGCAGAATACCTTTGGGGAAGTTAGTCTTCTAGTTTCAGTTTTCTCATCTATAAGATGGGGATAATATCACCTGGCAGTGTTGAGTGTTTTTTTGTTGTTTTTAATTTGCCAGAGGGTGTGTGTGCATGCCAGGAAGAGGCAACAAAACAGAGGGAGAGGAAGAAAGCACACTTCCCCAATAGAACATGGACACGCTACAACCCCGTTTTCTCCATTTCTTTACCCTGTTTGGATTTTGGACAAGTGTGCGCATGTGCCTGCTGTGTTTTCAAGCTACCAGGGACTGCCAGAGCTGGGATTCTAACTGCTTAGTTGGCCAAGTGGGATCTGGCTTGCTTAACCACCAGGCCATGATCAGTGCTGTTTGGTGTTTAAGAGAAATCTTAGATGGATTAATTTATTGTCATTTATAGATAATGAGAATTAATTATTTTTCTAGAGCCTGAACTGTTTTAAAAGGAAGTGAGTTTTGTTCCATTTGAAGACAGAGGTAATCAAATTGGTAAAATTCTTTCTAAACAAAGGTCTTATACTCAGTTGACTTTAGAACTCTATGACTTCACCTAGTTGTGATAGTGCATGGGTGGCACCACTGCTTGGGAGGCACAGATCTTCCCTGGCCTTGAACATGCTGGGTAAAACTGCATGAACCTGTAATCTTAGCTAATTGAAGGTGGGGGTTGGGGATTGTAAAAATATCCCTCTCCCTCCACCCTTTCCCCAGCTCTGTCTTACAGGAGAAAAAAAGAGAATGAAAAAGTAAATCAAGAGGAAATACTTTAAAAATCCAAAACCTCTATGAGACTCGTGTGACTACCAGTGTATCTGTATGCAAGTGGTACCCTGATCCACTGCGGCAGAGTATGTAGTGCTTGCTGGAGTCAGACAGACTTGGATTCATATGTAGATGATCGACCACTTTTCCTTCTGGAATCCTTGGGCAGGGTACTTTACCTATTTGATTAAAAATTTTCGTCTGTGAAACAGATAATAAAGATATAAAGAATAACAAGGGATCTAAAAGGATAATGAGGGGCTGGCAGTTTGTGTGGTAGTTAAAAGGCGCTGGACATGGCTGACTGTGGTTTGAATCCTGGGCCTGGCGGCTTGCTCACTTTACCTCTTTCTCTTACTCTTTCTATCTCTGGCCAAATTAAAATAAATAAAGAAACAAATAAAGTTAAATAATTCTTTAAAAAGAAAAGGATAATGAAAAGGTTGTTGTAAAGACTGGAGAGATAAGATATGCAGAATAGTTATGACCGAATGCAGTAAATACTGGTTGTTGTTATTGTGACCGTAGACAACTTATTCCCACACTCTGCACCCGACGTTTCCTCATCTGTAGCATAGCAGCTCACTAGTAGGCTGTTACAAGGATTGCATGAGATAATGCATGTAAGTGCTCACTGAATGTCAACTGCTGTTATTCATATTACTACTAATTTGATTTTAGAACAGATTACACTAATTCTGAGTTAAAATTAAATAATTTGGGCAGATATTTAATACATTAAAAATATATTCACTATGGATTGGGGATGGCAGTTTATCATTTATAGCCTGTGTTTCTTTAAGACAACAGTTCTCAGATTGTGTATACAGGCCTATAGAGGTCACTGAGACCCCAGGGAGTCCTTGAGGTTAAACTATTATAGTAATACTAAGTTTTTGCCTTTTCTCCTTCTTTGACATTTGCTCTACTGGTGCAGTAGCAATGATGGGTAAAATTTTGGGCATCTTTGTAGAAATTAAATGGCAGTGATGCCATCTGGACAAGTAATAATTGCATTCTTTACTGTCATGCATTTACAGTTAAAGTAAGTCAACTCGGGATTTTATTTAAGAATGTCCTTTTCCTTGGTGAAGGAATAACAATTTTTTTCTTATCGTCTTAACTTTCGAGTGTATTTCATTTTAATATTTGGTATGATGACATAGGAAATATGCAACAAACACTTTTGCAACATTATCGAGAGTGCATTCCTTGTCTAGAGGAGAAACCTTTGTGACTTTTCTTTTTCTCCCTGAGTTGCCAGTGAAGCTAGCCACATTTTGTATGAAACATCGTTTTTGCTTGTAAGAGTGATTAGTAGACAAACTATAATTATTTAGACTTAGGTATTTGGCAATCATTTTTCTTGAAAATGAACAAAGCAAACCTGTCAAGTCAAGGAAAACAACTGATGATGTTTGTTGCCAATGATAAAATTCGAACTTTCAGGTGAAAATTAAAATTTTATAAACTTGTGTTACCTGCTGTGCTCTCGTCAGCTTCTCAGTACTTAAAAGATTTTTCATATGTGCTGGTGGTGATACTAATGAATGTGAATTTTTACTATTGTATAATGAATTGTATCAAGAATTATAATATCTACATAACCAGTATATTCTAAGTGACCATTTTTACAAAATTATGGGTACATAATACTATCAAAAAGCAAGTAACAGTATGAGGGGACTTCACTTTTTTTTTTTTTAATAGACCAAAGATGATTTCTTTTTAATATCCATCATGCAATGAATTCATAGGGAATAGGTTCCAGAAGCTTATGTTCCTTTCCATTGGTTCTCAACAAAGTGTGCTTCTCTGGGTGGAGCAGTCCAGCATTTCAGTTTAACCCAGGTACTTTTCTCTTTGACTTCTTTTTTTTTTCTGATCATATGCCTTCACACATTTTAGGAAGCTATCTCTGTTCTTAGAATGCTTAATATGCACAATACAGTATATTAATTCTCTTGGCAAGAATCTTGCCCTTGTTTGTTTACAACAGTGCCAACAGCATGCTGGGTAACATTGTAGACTTTTCCAGTTTTGCCATGGTACATTTGTGGGGCGTTCCTTTTTGAACAGTACCCATTTCCTTGATGTCTACAATATCAC